ACAAAACCATCAAAGAGAGTAAACTGCTTCGTAAAATGAGAGTTGTAAATCATCCCTTTCTGAAAACTTAAACTTGCAGTACTTCATGTATTGCTAACTTTGGTCTAGAAGGATGTTTCCCCCTACTCCACCCTGCTACCTTAATTTTTTTTCACAATTTATTCTTTTTCAATACCATATTTGGCTTGCTAGTCAGTTGTACTCCTTATAAACTAATACATTGCTATGTTTCACTATGGGGTTGTGGGATTTTTTAAGCTGATGTTTAAGCTTGTAGGAAGTGTTTCTGGAGAACTGATAGCTTGTAATGGAAAACTGGAGTTAAATATCCAATTATAGAGCTTTAGTGCAATAGTATACCAAGAAGAACTCTCATCAATCGTGTTTTTAAGTACACAAAAGAAAAACTATTGATTATTGACTATTTTGTGTTCCCTGTGAAGATTAACACGCTTCTTTCATCCCAAGAAGTATATAAACTTGTGCAAACCTGCAGAGTAATGAAATAAAAAACCAGCCACATATGCTTTTTGTCCCTTTTTACAAATATTTTTGTAACCATTGTGTTCAGAAAGAGATAATGGTAACTGTCATGATAGAAGTGGAAAACAGAAGAGTTGGTCATTCTTTTTAAAGCTTGTAAATGAGACAGACTTGCCTGAGAGCACACATGATGTCTGTGTCAGTGTTCAGGTCTTTCCTCATGCTATTTACAGGACTTGATTGCTGATTCTGTTTTCACAGTAGTAGTTTTATAAAACCTAGGTCAAGTTGCACTTTCTTCCTGCCTTATAGCAACTCCTATTGTCTGAAAATGTTTGTTTATGGGCTTATAAACTTAGAATAATAAAACAGTTTGGGTAATTCTGGCACAGGGCTTGTGTTCAGACATTTGATAGTAATTGACCTTCCTTCTCTGGAGAAATCTGGCTGAGTGCACAGCTGCACATGTGCATGTGCCAGTACAGCACTGGGGAGTGAACAACTGGTGGGCAAGCATTGCTGGTCCTGAATGTGCACTCTGATACAGCAAATAGCAAGCAAAATGTACTTTAGAAGCAGTTGTTCTGGATATTATTTAATTATATTCCCCAGTTAGACAGCTTATGTTGAAGTGTAGTTAGCAGCTTAGTAAGGGATGAGCCAGCATTGTTTTAATGCTGAACAGGAGCTTCTGTACACGAGGCTGTTTCCAGACAGTAGCAAATGTACATTCAAAATGAGCAACCTTCTGGTTCTCATTGACAGTGGATGACACACACGCCTGATGTGAGATTGCAGTGGAAGTCTGCAGCTTTATTTAGCTTATACACTGTGAATATAGAGCATCTGCTCATTTTTGTGATCCTTCAGTAGTGAACCTGATCTCAGCAGGGTGGGGAGGAAGACTCCAGTAAATTTGTAAAGACTCATGGCTTCTCTGTGCTTCTCAGTGGCAAAAGTCTTAGTAAGTAAAAACAAAGCTGAGTTTCTTTCTATGCCATTTGTCCAGATCTCCTTTGATTGTAAAAGAAAATGTGTTTGACGTGGTTTGTTCTTAGGAAACAGTGACTTGTTTTGTTTCTTTGTCGCCTTTAAAATGCTTACTGGAACAAATAAACTATTAATACTACTTCTAAAACTGAAGTTGAACTTATTGGCCTGTAATCCTTCATTATTTTTTAACCTTTATTGAGTCCAGTTTTCTTTACTCTGCATTGCTGTTATCTTTATTAGTTTATTCTGTTGGCCTTACCAAAGCAAAAGCATTTAGCACACCTGCCTGTTCAGTGGCATGAAGGGATTTGAGATTAATGGCATTACTTCTCTTGCTCTGTGTATTTTGCTTGTGTCTGTTTTGTCATCTTGCCCCCATGTTTTTGTGGTAGTTTTTGTGCTTTACCTTCGTAGGCTGCCCCAGTTTCTGTGTCTTGAGTGCTTTCATATATTTTATGGTCAGTGAAGGCCTCATGACTTGGCCAACTTCTTTATTATCTTTCCTCCCCCAATAGGATTGTTTGCATGTAATAGCTCTCCTATGAAGTAACCAGATTTCCAGAACTCCATTTTTTCCCCTTGGGCTTCTCCATAACTCTTTTCCTTACACTTGCCTATTGTGAGGCTTCCCTTTGTTTGTATGTTTGCCCTCTGCTTCTTGAAGCCCTGTGTTGGATTTGTTTTGTGCTGTTCTCACTACTTTCTCTTTTAACAGTTATCAACAAAGTTTTTTCCATTCTTTCTTTTCCCCCTCCCTCCCAGTTGTATGTTTGTTTGTATGTTTACTAGTTCCTTAAGATAGGTTAGAGGGCTCTTTCAGATTGGATTCTCTGCAATCTTTATTAGGACAAAAATAATTTCTGGTAAATAATCTAGTAGAATTAATGACATGATTTGTGAAGGTCTTAGTGTTGTCCTTTTTGTGAGCAGCTACCAGGTTATTTAAACACATGAACTGTAAGGGGGAGGATTTGTGTGCACAGACTGAAATAAATCTACATGTTTATCAATTGAGTCTGAAAATTATGTGGGTGATTTAGACTTCAAACTGTGTTGTGTTCACAGTGTTAAGTGTGCTTCTGGGATGGGATATTCATTAGGTTTCTTGCTTCCTGTTTTGTGTGTGCAGCTGGGGAGGGGTAACAGCCAGCACAGCCAAACTCAGGACAGAGACCACAGAAACCTGAGTCCCAAAAGTTCTGTCTCCCATCTCTGCCCCTGTTCTTCCCAGCTGGTGCTGGTAATTCTGTGCTAGTCTGATCTCTCCACCTCAGCGTTGTGAAAATTAAATTCTCAATGTACATCTGCTTTTTGTAAACCCCTGTGACACTGAAAGTAGAGAAATTGTCTTAAATATTTTAAGATTTCTTGTTTATTGGTGCAAGAGGAATAAGGCTCTTTGCAGTGGTGAGAGGTTTAGTGCAAACAATGTGCTGCTACTGTTCCTAAAACAATTAATGACAGTAAATGGTTACACACAGGGCTTGAAGACTTCCAACTGCTGTTTTTCTAAAACATTATTATTATTATTATTATTATTATTATTATTATTATTATTATTATTAAGTTCTGTGGCTGTAACTGTTTTATTTCTAAGTTTTAATAAGGTTGATTATAGCCTTCATAGGATTGCCTTTTTCTTCCCTAGATCTATGCTTTTATTAATACTGAGTTAGGAAACAGATATCTGTGATCTTGCACGTTAATACACCAATAAATGTGAAAAACCTAGAACCAATAATGTCTGCATTTCGTGTTTTGTGATGGAAAACAGCAAAAAGACCCTCAAGTAAAGTTTTAAAAAATGATTGTTACCCTAGTGAAAGAACAGGGAAATGCAGTTTTGCTAGTGAGCTTGTGTTAATTGTGTGTGATACGTGCAGTAGTCCTTCCTGAGAATTCTGATTCTTTCAGTGTGTGCATATTTAGAAATCAGCCTATGCTGATTTTCAGTGCTCTTAACACATATAGTAGTAGTTATGATAAATAATATGGATAATTGTCATACATAACCATAATATGTGTAAAATCATGCAGTGTTTATAATATTGCTAAGTACTCCTTAAATGCAATATATGCCTCCTTTAATAGATTTCTTATGGAGTTGTTCCCTGCTCATGAACCTCCAGCCTTTTCTTTTTTTTTTTTTTTTTTTTTTTTTTTGTGAAGTCTGAGGAATGTAGTCCCTTCCTTGGTAACAATGTGCTTTCTCTTCATTTGAAAATGCTCCCCTGTCTCTGAGGAGCTGATGTTTTGTTTCAGTTTTAGTTATTTTTAAGCTGATTGCTATTAATGAAATAGACTGACTTCATTAACAAACTAATTTTTTTTGTCATGTAAAGGTCTAAAATACATAGCTTCCAGTCTGGATATTTTAACTGATTGTGAGAGAGAATACATTTATTTTAAAGCAAATATTATTAGTCTGCTGATATTCAGGATAAAAATAATTTTTTAAAAAGAGCTAATACCTAGAGATGCAATTTATGTCATCTAGCCTGGATTTGTGGAAAATTTAGTGAAGACCCTATTTGCAAGTGAAAAGAAACAAGAGTGGAATCACAGAACCTACAAAATAAGAAAAAAAAGTTGTGTTTTCTACTTTTGTTTCAGACAAATGTCTCCTATTGGCAGTTAATTTAATATTGAGAAATGGGGCAAGAAAATCTGCTTCAATTCTGTGAGACAAAGCTGCTGATTTTGATAACGGGACTTGTACTCCTTCTCAATTGCTTGTTTTTCTTTGGAATATTTCCTGTGTTTTGGATAAGTTAGTGAGGTCTGAGAATATTTTGTTTTGACTTATTTTGCTGAACAACTTGTGCTCAAACTTGATGCAACTGCACTGAAAAATGCTATTCAGCATAGGCACTTGAGAGTTTTCTAACCTACAAAAAATATGTCTTAGGAATACAATTCTTCATAGTATCTCTAATAATATTCCTTGTTAGGCCTCCTTTGATTGAATGTTTTTAGTAGTTCATAATCTTCATTCAAGCTTGGGTCACTGTGAGATGCTTTCTGTTGTTAAAGTAGATCAATATTATGGATGTGATGTTCTGGTGCTTGTAAGTATTGACAGGACTTGCAGAAAGTACCTTCATCCTATTTGTGTCAAAAAGACAAACTTTTAATGATTTTGGATTAAAAATGTTTAATTATAAGTGGAATACAGTTATGAAAGATGAAGTTTGAATTGAGTGTTCAAGCTTAGGTCCTTTCAGGATGTTAATCCATTTTTTTGCTTGCATTATAATTTCTTTTTGAAGATGTATATAAACTGTGAAATCTGGTTGAAAACAGGATATATGATAGAAAATCATACTGTAGTTATATTTAGTTGTAAAATAGACTGGGGAAAACTTCAAATTAAGAATTAGCTTTATTTTGTGTAACTAGTGTAATGGGAAATGTCTAGGATGTTGATAACAGTCTGGGAAGCAGGGGGTTTTGTTTATGGCATTTATCCAAGTATTGCATTCTGACTCTTACTACTTTTTTTTCTTTTTTAATTTCGTTTTCAGATCTTGAGTCAGATGACTGTGCATCCATATACATCTTTAATGTAGAGCAGCCATCATCCTCTGTCAACCAGCCAATTTGTATTCCTCGCCATGGACTGCAGTCTCACTCCTCTCCTACAAGATTTCAGAGTCACAAGAACTATGAAGGCACTTGTGAGGTACCAGAATCCAAGTACAGTCCACTAGGTGGACCCAAACCCTTCGAGTGCCCCAGCATTCAAATCACATCGATTTCACCCAACTGTCACCAGGGGATTGAGGCCAGTGAAGATGAATTACACACAAATGGCACAGAAAATGAGTATATGGAAAGGCCTTCCCGGGACCATCTCTATCTTCCTCTTGAGCCATCGTACAGGGAATCATCCCTTAGTCCCAGCCCTGCCAGCAGCATTTCATCCAGGAGTTGGTTTTCAGATGCTTCCTCTTGTGAGTCCATTTCCCATGTGTATGATGATGTAGACTCAGAGCTGAATGAAGCAGCTGCTCGATTTACCCTCGGCTCTCCTTTGGCATCACCTGGTGGTTCTCCCAGAGGTCCCAGCGATGAATCGTGGCAGCAGCCTTATGGCTTTGGGCACGCCCTGTCCCCCAGACAGTCTCCCTGTCACTCTCCCAGAACTAGTATTACAGATGAAAATTGGCTGAGCCCCAGACCAACGTCAAGGCCCTCATCCAGACCTACATCCCCCTGTGGGAAACGCCGCCACTCCAGCGCTGAGATTTGCTATGCTGGTTCTCTCTCTCCTCACCATTCTCCAACTCCATCCCCCGGCCATTCTCCCAGAGGAAGCATAACAGAAGACACGTGGCTGAACACTTCCATTCATAATGTACAAGGCCTTAACTCTGGGCTTTCACCATTTCAGTGTTGTACAGAGACTGATATCCCTCTAAAAACCAGAAAGACCTCAGAGGATCAGACTGCCACTTTATCTGGAAAAATAGATATCTGTCCTGAAGAGCAAGGTAACTTGTCATCATCCCTTGAAACTGCAGTGGATGATTGCTCTGGATCCCAGCACACCTTGAAAAAAGACTTGCCTGGAGACCAATTCCTTTCTGTTCCTTCGCACTTTACTTGGAACAAGCCGAAGCCTGGTCACACTCCCATATTCCGGTGAGTGATTACAGAGTGGCTCCTTCCTGGCCTTCCCCTCCTGTGCATCTTAAATAGGCATATAAATGTCCTTGTATTTCAGTGATGCATTAAGACTTGTTAAAGAAAACTTGTTGAAGGCTGAAGGATGCTATAATTAGGAAAAAAAAGTTGAGATACCAAATACCCTTCATCTTTAAAAACACAGTAGATCATTGTAAATAGGATTAGTTTAATTTAAGTAAAGTTTGGGTAAATGCACAGGGCCCAGCTGAATTAAATGCCTGTGGATTTTGTACATGCTTTGCAGTTCCATCTAATCTGAGCACTTGACATTTAATATAGCTAGGGAAACCTGACTTACATGATTTTATAAAACTAGGAGGTCACAAAAGAGGTAGGGCGTTTATTTGCTTTTGTGTCGATTTACTTCTTTGGGCTCATAAATTCTAGAAATAGAATAAAGAAGAAAATTTGTATGCCATGCTGAAAGTCATCCAGAAAGAATGGATGTCTGGGCTGTAGTTCCAAGGTATTTCCACCATCCATGATAGAATTAATAGGTCTTTTCCTTTTGCAGTCCTGTCATGTGCTAGCAGGATGATTTGTGGAGACTCAGAACAGGGAACTGCTTTAATTGAGTGCAAAAGTCCCCTCCCTTTCCACTTTTTAAATGGATCTTCAGTGATCTTTCAAGTTATAGAGCTTGTATAAATTCTTGAGAAGTTGTCATCCAATTTGGCTTGTTAATAGCTAAATCCATTTAAACAATACTTATTCAGCCATTTGGTTATTTTTTGCCTAATTTTATAACCACAGGTTTTAATTTCTCTCCACAGAATTGTAGTGATTTTAGTAAATAGAAGTGATTTTTTTTTTCTTCTCTTTTAATGTTCTTCCACATAACCAATTATGGATTTTGTTTACTGTAAAATTTAACAGTAAAGACGCAAAGCTGCTGGCTGGATCTGTTCTACCAGGTCTGAAACAATTGTGCTAACAGATAAGTTAACTGTCTTCAAGTCTGGGGATTTTTAAAATTCCATTGCCATCTGTTAGTAATAGGTGTTCAATCTGTTTGTAGAGTCTTTTCATTCAAACTAAAACAATGATGTTTTGGTTTTAACTTATTTGTGTATTTTGGAATTGTATTGTATTTGTGTAGGATACTAAGCAGTCCTAACTTGCCATTTTTGTTAGCTTGCATGCTAACATTGTTCCTAAAAGGTGAGCACTACTGTAGGGTTAGATGTCATGAACAAACAGGCATGGGCTGTGGCTCTGGGATGAACAAAGTGGTTTGAAACATGGACAGCTCATACCTGTTTCCTCTTGTACAACTGAATAAAAAGAAATCTTAGTATTTTCATTAAAAAGAAAAAATATGTTTTCAAATGTCAGACTTTATTTAGAAGCAGGAACTGAATAATTTTTGTAAATATAAGATGGGCAAACAGACAGAAGACAATGAAGACTACACCTATACACAAGGAAGCTACATAAACCTATTAAGCTGGGTGCATTTGCTGCCAAAAATGTTGGCTGATTATTGAATTGGTGGAAATGGCTGCACTGGCAGCTGTATCCTCGGTGAAATGTTGAATTACTTAGCAGTTGTAACCTATTCCTCAGGGGCTATGGCAGTGTGCATCTTCAGCAGGTAAAACTTTCCATTCTGTCATATTGTATTTCGTAATTTTGATTCTTATAAACCTAAGTTGACCCGTACATTTTATAAATAAAAATGAAATGCGAGACCCTCTGTTTCTAAATAGTTGATGATGCTGACCAAAAGTGAGTATATTAGTTGTCATAAAGAATTATGTAATTGTTATTTATGTGTTTATTCCATAATGTATGTACAATTGTATTAATTGTAGTAAAAATTACAAGATATAGTAAAAATAGTGTGCTTGTTAATGTCTTGATTGTGTTGTCAAGCACAAAGTAGTGCATGAAGTAAACAGCAGTATTGATTCCAAGCAGATAAAATAAGTACACACCCAGCTGTAATAACTGACCCCTGGAAGAAGGGGAGTGATTTGCCTTCCATGTTCTGTGGTGTGAAATGTGTAGGTAGCACTTTCTGCTCTGAGTGCTCTCTAAAGTTTTGTAAATCTGTTGTCTACTTTATCTGTCAGACCTTACCATGTTTTCCTCATTCTTCTGTTTTCAGTAAGTGTGCAATGCTTAAGAAAATCTAAAAATGTATAAGATGCTTTTGAGCATTAGTCATATTTCACATGCCATCTAAACTGGTTTGTTTGATGACAGCTTGTTATTTGGTCACAGAAACTCATAATCTGCCAGTCAGTGGCATATGAGAAATGTTTGTGTATTACATGGCCCAAGTCCATTTCTGCTCCTTGTCAAAGCGAAGTGTGGGCAAGGGCTTGGGCAGGACCCCTGCAGCAATTCCTTCCTCCAAGTGAGAGAACTGGGCAGCAGCTTCTGAACAGGGAATAGTGCAGGTGGCTGCTGATGGTGTCACTCACCTGGTGTGATGGCAGACTCAGTTGGTCATTCTACAGAATATTCAGCAACTAACTTGGTAATTTTATTTATTACATGGTTATTCTTGTTGCTGTTTAAGTTACCTCTTTCTTTCACCCCCAGCCTCCCCACAGGGTGATGGGTAAGACATGTTTCTCATGTTTTCCTTCCCCTCCAATTAAAAAACCCTTTATTGGGATCTTAATGTGGTGATAGTAGATGCAACCTTCCCACTAGCATTTTACTCCAGCATTCCACAAATGTGCTGATTTTATCACTTTCTTTCATACTTGCTGTTAGAGTTTGAGTTGTAAGGTCCAGAAAGTGCAAAAAAATAAAAGTCTGTTTTACAGTGCTTTTTTTACTTGAACAAGGGGAATAAAAAGAGTCTAGAGATCACCTAGAAGTCTCTACTGAGCAGGTGGTATAATACAATACCTTTGGTGAGGACTTCACTCTACAAGTACAATTCATAAGAGATCAGGAGCATTGCTGGTGCTGACCTTGGTTGTGGTATTCTGGAGTTAAGGACCATCACAGGCATGGCCAGCCCTGCTGCAGGTAACATGGGGCTGTTAGAAAAGTGCTCTCTGATGATGCAATTGGAAATCATGGCAGTTCTGGTATTTTTGCTTTTTAAAAGCCTTGATTATCTTTTGCTTTAAACTTTCTATTTTAACATGAATGACTAGTGGAAGAGTAGACTTCAGGTTTGGTCAAGTGGATCTTGAGAATCTAATTTGTGTCTCAAGCAAACAGGTGTTTGCAGGGTAGTAAACTTAATGAGTCATTCATTTTTTCTTTCTTTGTTTAGCCCCACGGTGTTTGATGGTAACAAATTGTGCTTTTGTGTCTGGAAGATAACCAGGCAATATTCATTAATGGTCAAAAATCTTGAAATAAAACCTAGTTTCCTATACTTCCCTCATGGAATTCATAGAGACTTACACATTGATTTAAAAGCTACTACATAAATTGGTCTTTGTTTCCAGACTGTTTTGTCATTAATTAAATCTATGACACTGAGAAGTGATGGGACATCAAATAGTTTTTTTATCCCAGTGGTAATGAACAAACAGGCTTTAATAGACATATTTACAGCTCAGAAATCATTTTAATGGTGGACATCTAATGGCAGCTTGAGAGTATTTTACTGCTGAAAACTAGGATGGCTGACAAAGTAATTAACTCATTCAGGAAAAAAAAAGTTTACATAAAGTGGTAGATAGTGGAATACTTGAGAAAAGTGTTTCTTTTGTTTGAATCCTTCTCTTGGAAGTCTAAAGAATAGAGAGGAACAGAATTCTGTCCTATTTTTACCATAAGTATCTTGGGCCTTCAGTCTTAATTTTAAGAACTGCACTCACATTGAAAGATTTCTATAGACAAAGTTAATCTGCCAAGTATTTATCACCTTTTTGTGATAAATAGAAATAACACCAGCTATTCTACTAGCAAAACTTTAAAATGAAAATGTTTGCAAATGACTGACTTTGAAGATAAGAACCCACTTAAGTGAGACAAGCAAAGGAACTTTGACCCTCTCAGGTTTTTAATAAGCGACGCTATCACTGTAATGTTTGCACACCATTACTGAATCCAGGCAAATTCAGGTAGTGTTTAGTGCAGGGCCTTAGTGCTGTACCTGTTATTCCTGTCTCTGCTTTGCTCTGGGATGATGGAACAGAGATTTCCCCATGGCAGTTCACTGTACCAGTACTCTGACAGCAGTGTGAACTGTTCTGCCAGGAGCAGAATGGTATTTTGAATGTAAACAGATGAATAAAGTCCATTGATAGGCCACTGTCGCAGCTGGAATGGCCCCAAATTTCTTAACTTCAGAATTTCTCCATCAGGGATAATATGGCTTTGTTCTAGGCAGTGAAGAGCAGCCACAGCAGTATCTTGGCTCTGCAGGAGATCTTTAAAACCATAGGATTGGATCATAGTTATGATTTGAAATTCTCACGGGGTTGCTGTCTTGCAACATTGACTTGTCACAGAATACACTGTGGGTTCATCTCTGCAAAAACTTGGGATGAGGAAAAATGTGGAATAGCCATTGTATGGTCAGTGAGCTTTTTCTCTTTTGAAATGTTGGGAGGAGTTTTAAGTGGAAAATTATTTTTGCTGCAACTAAAAGTTAATAAAAGTATCTCTCTAGTAGATTTGGGAATCTCAACCAGTGAACTTTCACAACTATCTGGAGGTACTAGGGGGTATCTTTGAAAGGTTGCTACTAGAATTAGTAGCTACAAGGAGGTAGGAACATTTTCATACAGAGTGGCTAAAATGACTTTTTGTATCAGTTGCACCTGTGTTCAAAAACAGTGCTATAAGTGGAAGATAATTGTTTTTAGCTGAATTATGTTAATGAGTCCATAGGCTTTGTTCTTCCTTGTGTCCCACACACGCTGCTCTGGGGCCAAGTCAAAGCAAATCCTGTTTCTGCCCAAGGCTTCTTCCTATGGCAGGGGGGCAGAGTCACCCATGAGCACACCCTGCCTTTTACAGCTCTGAATGCTCAAATCCTTATGGACATGTTTGGCAGTTCTTTTACTGAACATCAGCTGTTTCCTCATCAGTCACTTCTGTTTTGGAGGTAATGGTTGCAGAGAAGAAGGTATCTGTTAGATTAATATTGATAAAATCAATGAAGTGGTGCCTTCAAATGCTGTTGTTTCTGCTGAGAATGCTGCCAAGGGGTTCTTTCTTTAGCTCTGAGTTCCCTTTAATAGCTGCTGTTCTCCAAAGTCTTTAGTCTTGATGTGATATATATGAGTATGAGCTTTCTGAGAGTTGCATTATTCAGATTATAAAACTCCCTTGGTATTTCCAGATCATTTGTAGGTTTACAGATTGTTTCAACAATGTGCAAAGATTTGGTTTCATGAAAGCTTTGGAAAGACTGTCACTCATGACTTCCCTGTCCTGATGTGATTTGGTCATTTAGTAGTAGGTTATTGCATTGCTAATAAGGTTTTTAATTAAAAAAAAGAGAGAAGACATTTCACAGAAGTTTCTAAGTCCCAAGCTGTTCTAACAGTAAATTGGCACCAAACTGGGTAGAATTTACTGATGAAACATGGAAATATCTACAAACAAGTTCCTTCCCCATCAAGACTGAAAAGTGAAGGGCTTTAGAACATGAATTGTTATTTTTCCTAATCTTTTGTTCTAAAATAACTTGAAAACCCCCTCATGGCCAGCAGCTGATCTGGGTTCTGAATAGAAAGTTAGGTGTCTTTATCAATAACACAAAGCGGTCAGGCTGTGTAAGAGAGACAGAAAAAGTACTTGTTCATTTCTGAAACAGCTGAGCTGCTTATTCTTTAACATCTTCCAGATACTTTAAGAGCAATACACCACTATAAATTGAATTTCAGTTCTGCACTATCAGAGATTGAGCAGAAGTTCAGTGAACCTCAGTGCACAGTTTACAACTGATAACTGTGGTGAGTTAAATCTAGCAGTTCTACTGCTGATCCTCACCTGTCAGTGTAGACTGAATAATATTTTCTTGAGAACAGATCCTTACATGCAGTAAAGCTGGCAGCTTCAGAGCTGTTTTCCCATATTCAGCATCTGGTACAAAATAGCATTGCTTCATATGAAAAAGTATTCAAAACATATGCAAGTTTGTTACTTCTTGTACCCCAAAGGCTGACATAATTTTTCTCATTTGATATTGAATTGTACATAGAATTAAAAAAAAATACCAAGAGTTTGTAGACTATTCTGTTGGGTTTTTTAATTGATCTAATGTGCAGTCTTGTGGGTTTCTATGACTTTAGGAAGGTGACAGTGCTGGATAGGAAGTTCCCACTCTGCTTCCCACCCCTTAGTTCTGCTTGAAGGTGTACAGGCAACCAAGACTCTGTTAAATTAATAGGATCAAAGAATTTACATTTCAGAATGAACCCAGGTTAGATCACTGATTTGGTTCAATGTGTACCTCTATAGTATTTGTCTGGAAAATGTGTAAGGATGATGTGGAAGCAAAAATACATAAAACTGATACCCTACAAGGCAGGAAGGTGCATGACAGAGTATCCTAAAACCTGTAAAGAATCCATTGCTGCTGAGAAGTTCAGGGATAAAGATGGCAAGGAAAATGCTCAGAGAGAAACAACAGTTTGGGTATCCAGCATCAAAAGGGAAGCAGCTGTAACTGTCAGACCAGCTGCTTCTAGAAAACATCTGTTTGATGCAGTACAGCCTCAAAAGCTGTGTCATTTACTGGGGAATTTCTTGCCTTTTTTTTAGCATTTTAGGCATCTGCACGTGCACAGTCCTTTTCCTTGCTCGCTTATGCTGTTTTTTTCTTTTTATTTTCTTTTTGTTTTCAAAGAATGACAAAATTTTGAGAGTTGGTTATTTTCTTGTCTCCATGTTTGTCCTAGTATGCCAAATATTTTTTCAGAAGATAATGTGAGTCTGATGCAACTTGTGCCACATTATTGTTAGTTAATTGCAGGAGGAGTAAATCTCTCTGAGACACTGTATGGAGAGTGGTCATGATCAACAAATACTTTTTTTCTTGACTGGATTTACCATTCAACTTCCAGTAAGAGCTCCCAATAATTGGTGTATAGCCTGTGGTGCATTAACAGAGTTCTCTCAGGTACCATATCTGTCCAGTGTATACCAACTATTTTGGCAGAGAAATTTGGGTACATAAGGGATAAAAAGATTTTCACTTTTAAATGTTCATAATTGAATTTACCCTGCCAGGTAATTACTGGCTTGAATCTGACTATTCATCTTATTAGAAATCTGTGCAGGTAAAAAGGGTAGGTAACCATTGGTTTGAGGTTCTTCCATGTTATTTCTATTACTGTATTTTGTTCTTCCCTGGAGTGACCTTGCTACTGTATGTAAGGGTGTGTCTGTGGACGAGCTGAACACAACTTTAGGTGTCTTTGTTGCCTGCTGCAGTAAGTCTTTATGGCTAGATAGAACAAGTAGATTTTTAAAACTTAGGGTGACTACACAGTGTTCATTTTAATGATAGCTGACAAAATGCAGTGCTTGCCAAAGGAAAGCAAAAACAGCAAGCTGGAAGACAGTGCAGAGTTAAAACTTCATGACTGTCAGAAGTTTGCACTGGTCCCTCTAAACCACATTTGAATTTGCTTGCTGATATACTTAAGATTAAAAAGTGAATATAAAGCTGTTATAGAGTAGCACTAGAAGTGTGGAACTGGGGGTCATAGAGTACCTTTCTTTTGCTCAAGAAATTCCATTCTAGTTCAAGATTTTAATGTACCAGTTAAACTGTGTTTTTTCACATAACAATTTTAAGGTGATAGTTATTCTTGTTGGATTATCATTTGTATGGGAAGTGACATCATTGTCTGTGTTTTACAGTGAAGGCTTTGTGCTGTGCCAGATGGCACCTTTTGTGTAACCACACGTCCTTATCTTGATTGCAGCACATCTTCATTGCCACCTCTTGACTGGCCTTTACCAAGCCATTATGGGCAGTGTGAACTGAAAATAGAAGTCCAGCCTAAAACTCATCACAGAGCTCACTATGAAACAGAAGGAAGCAGAGGAGCAGTAAAAGCATCTACTGGAGGACACCCTGTAGTAAAGGTAGGAAGTCTGGCTTTCTTGAATAGAAGGTAATTTTTAAACTACAGTTACTGGTATTTACAATGCTGTGAATTGTTACCTTTTGTGAAGCTTATAGCCTTTCCTGGGCAAGATTTTCTCCCTTAAATATGATGGTAACTATTTTGAAAACACTGACCAATAAAACCAGTTATTGTTGAGCTCAGAATAAGATGTAAGGTCCTGGTAAATTAGACTTGGCTTTGGCATCATACTCTCTTGGAAGAGAAAGATATGTGGGTTTGGTCTTGTTGGAATAACTGTGTGCATGAGATGTGATGTGCTGCTCTCTCACTTGGAGTGTTCAGGTGTGTACACAAACATCTTGCTCTGTGCTGGGGAGATTTCTGGGTTGCTTAGGGACAGTCACTGATGTCTCCTTGAATATCCAGGGTGTCAGCTGGCTCACACAGCTTGGAATGAAACCCACTCTCATTCACTGAACATGGGGCAAGTGGTGCTGAGAAACTGGGGCTCCTTAAGATGCCTTGTTTATGTTTGCCACATCCTTAGGTGAAAGTGAAGTGTCTCTTCACTTACCTCAGTATTGCTTAATGGTCTTTATATTAACTCCAAGCCAGGTTAAGACAAAATTTAATGGCTTGTTTATAAGTCAAATCAGATTGCAGTTACAAAATCCTTATTAAAAAAAGAGGCGAGAAAAATCTGATTACATGAAGGTTGCAGCAGGTTTTGTCTTTTCCTCCAAATCCAGGAGGAAATATTTCATGTTCTTTTCCAATAAAGTCAGCGTTTCAGTCTTCAATATTTCGCTACAGTCTAGACATTAAAAATGGATTTTATATATTTATCCTCTTCCAGTAGTCGAAAGTGACTCATTACTATTGGAGACCAGATGCAAAGTGCTGATAGGATTGCCATAACCCATCCTCGTTCTTTCTCCTACTCTTACTGCAGTATAAACATGTTACCACTTTTCCTCCTTATAGTTTATTCCTCCTCTTTGGCAAGAGAATTGTGTCACACTGAAATTTACATTTCATCTCTATCAATGAAGATATACCAGCAGAGTTTAAGTGTCTTGGATGATCTGCTGTTATTAGTTTGTCTAAGCAACCTCTGCTTCCAGGCTCTTCATCTGATGAATTTCTTCAGCCTGACTCCTAATCATATTCTTTGGGCTGCTCATCACTGTTTCTTCTGTTAGCTTACCTTGAAAATTTTCATTTTACACCTTTTTTTCCTCTTCGAGACTTTGTATCATTCCTTTCTCTCCCTCTAAAAAGGGTTGGTTATCTGCATCCCATCTTCTTTCTTCAATGTCTTTCCTTGTTTTTCCAGTGCAATTCTCAGGTTGAGCTCTTCATCCAGCTTTCATGTTCCCTGCAAAGCTGCTCAGTGTTTTTCTTCTCACAATGCTGTGGCCTAACCAGCTGCAATTCTCTCCTTTTGTCAGACCACAGGGTTTCTTAGCACAGCAGAGGCAAGGTCAGGTGCTTCTTAGGGAGGTGTGTGCTGCAAAGTAGAGAAATTTGAGGATGCCTGGCCTGGGCTGGGGTTGGAAAGCTGGCAAGACACATTCCTTCATGTGCAGTAGTGTGTTGCTTCAGTCAGTGGAGGACAAGTAGACACAACTTCCACATGCCAAGGTGCTCTCAGAGGAATTTAACACATCATTAATGAGGACAGAAACCTGAGAGATTTTAGCTGACAAAATAAATCTTTCCTGAGCTGCTGTGAACCACATTCAATATTGTTTCATTTTTTTTCTCTGGGTGTTTGTCTTGCTCTAATATTTGCATTAAGGGAATTTATGCTGCTATTTGCAAGATTTGACAAATTTGTAGGCTTTCTTTTGCTTACAGCTCTAGATGGTTCTAAGCTGCAGTACTGGATGCTTCTAACTGCAGTAATGCAAATTAGAAGAAATCTGTAGTGGGTGACTTACACCAATGATTTTAAAAGCTATTTATTTGCATTGAAATTGTGAAATACCTTGCTATATGAGAATGCTGTGTTAAAAATGAGGATGGCATTTATGTGTCTGACAGTCTTGCACTTCAACACATGCATTGTGCTATGCCTCTCTAAATTAAAATGAATCAAATGCAAATGAATATTCAACTTTGCAATTTGGTCTCTTCCAGCTGGACTGCAAATTAATTGTTGTGTTTGATAGGAGATAGGAAGCTGTTATGAAACAAAGCATTGATTTGTATTTACTTTTTACTTACTGCTTGGAAAAACAGCATGGGAAAGGCCAAATTTGGAACAGGTAATACTAATATCTGTAGGGAGGTGGATATTACTTTCATACAAACTGAAATGTTTTCCAGTACTTCTGGAAGCTTATTCCAGAAATCCACTTCATAGAATGCACTACTACTTCTTTCTGACTTCTTCTTGGTGCTCTTAGCTTTAGAGCAATCACTTCATGTGTGTGATCATTGCAGTAAAGCACTCCACATTTTCCTGTGTGAAATGACTGTGTGTTTACCAGTGTCAGAGATGAGAAAGGAGCTGGGTAAAGAGAACAGAATCCTTTAATTGGAACAGACCTGCAGTGGTTGTCAAGTCCAACTGCCACATCTTTGGGTGCCTGAAAGGCCTCTGTGCTTTTCCTTCTTACACAACTTGTTTTGCTTTTGAACATTATATTATAGAAAGCTGGAGTATTTAATCTCCAAACTGTGAAGCCTCTCTAGTTCTGTATATGCACTTGATGTATCATTTAAAATAAAGATTTTAAGATAGTACATGGCTTCAAGCCTTTAATGTATTAGTGCATGTCATTAATCTATTACTAATACTGTACCACACCTGTTGCTAGGACACTAAGCTTCTGACAAATTTGGCATCATCTGTTGTGAGTACATTTAATCAGCTTATTTCCAAATGGGAGGAAATTAAATAAGTGGAGCATCATGCTTTGCTTTGTATATCTCTTAACTTTAAGAAAGCTAATTCTATAATGATGTTCCCTTGTTTTTAGCTTTTTTTAATGCTAAATGTTCTAAGTAGCAGATACCTTTCATTTTAAGCTCTGCTTTCTTGGGAGTATGTTCCAGCTAATCCTTGTCATCTGGAACAGTTCTTTTACCTTGGTAGAGAATCTGCATGATAATGCTGACAGTTTTCACAGGGAAGGAATAAATAATATAGCAGAAAGGTTTGCAAGGAGAAAGGTGGCATGTTGAGCTTTTGTCATCCAAATGATGTGGAAATTTTGTAGTGCATTGCCAGGAGACAGCCTCTGAGCACTCCCTAATTTTACCGTTCTAATTCATAGGTTAGAGTCTGCAATTCACCCATCTAGGAGCTTTTTAAACAAGTAGCTGTCACATTTTATCCAACTCCAAATGAACAGTCATCATTGCTTGAATTTCCACCCTTCCCACGGGTATAAATAAAATCATGTTTGCACTTAGAATTTGCTAGAATGAGTTTCCTTCTGTCTGAACTGGTAGGGTTCTTCATGAGACCTCACTTGGGTAATGCTTATGATCAAAAACAGAAAAGCCTTTTAGAGCAGGTGGGCACCTGGTAAGAATCTATTTGGGATAGTTTGGTGGTTTTTACTTTTGTATCTTAGTTTTCCGATCTAAATGAACTTTCTTAAATAAAAAATAAACTTGTCTTATGTATTGTCTTCCTGTTACTCATGTAATTTTCTGCAATTTTCTGAGCTCAAGGATTTTAAATTAATGACATCTTTTGGTAGAAAATCATAAAGGCTGTGTTGTGCACAAGAAATAGTATTTCCTTTTATTTTTTTTGTCTTGTTGCTAGGGAAGAAGGTGATGCCCATGCTGGTCATCTTGTAACCACACAGAGTGATGTACTGGGGACTGTGGGCTCAGCTGCTCCTTAGCCCCTCTCTGTGTGCAAGGAGTGTCTGTCCTGGGGCCCCTGTGGCAGTCAGCTGTGGGTATGAGCTGTGATGGGCAATTGGTTCTACAACTGATGGTGTACCTGCAGCAGACACTGTCTAGAACCCACTCACACCCTGGGTATGCAGGATAGGTTTGGAGTGGTGGTGGCTCTTAAGAATTTGCCTGGAGCAAAAGTGTCTTTTTCCTGTACTGCAAAGTGCTTAAGGATAGAATCATTCTGTTCCTCTGCCATAAGCAGAATTATTCCTGTAGCAGATTCACAGTAACAGAGGAAGGGATGCATTGTGGAATCCATATGAACAACTCAGCAGTTCTGCAGCTAAAAAAAAAATATGTAAGATCAAAAATCCAAGCAATATTAAATAAAAGTCAGTTTGTTTAGATGGCTACACACAGCTACTCACTGACAAGCAGAGTTTTCTGTGTGAGGTTTGGAGATCTGTAAAAGAGGGACTCTGTGTCAGCTCTGTTTAAAGTGATTGCAGAGCTTGAAGTCAAGATAAGCGCTGCTGTGGATGAAAAAAGTAAACTAATTGAGCAAAAGTAAACTCCCTTTGAACTGCTTTGAAAGTTCTGAGGCAGGAATGTGTTCTCAAAAAGCCTGTCAAACTCTGCCTGAGTCCTGATGGAAGAAACTGCAACCAACAAGAGAGGATCTATCCAGGCAATGTCAGATGATCTGATAAAAGTAAATTAACAAAGCATTGTCTAAACGAGTGTATGTTTCCTGGCCTGTAATTCTGTTGCTGTCACCTTTTCCCAGCTGTTCCCTGTGGCTCATGCATGTAACTACTTGAATATTAGGTATAATATTGGAATTCTCCCTCTTCTCTATGTCCAATAAACAGCACTCTTTTTCTGTGTTTTGCAACCCTTCCCATTCTTCCTGCCTTCCACTCTCTAATTTTCATTTTTGTCTTGAATTTTTTCCTGGTTTGTCCCTCACCAGAAGGCAGGCTCTATCCCAGCTCTAGTTGCCTCCTGTTGATTGGTGACAGCAACCTGCCAATAAATCTAAAAGTCAGAAGGTAAATCTCAGCCTGTGTGAACTGTGTAATGGCAAAAAACATTGACCTTTGGATGAGATTCTAAACCTATGTATCTTTCAAGAACAGTTTGATTTAGGCA